ACTCGCTATAATGCCTCCTGGAACTCCCCAGACACTTCGTTGACGCCCAGTCCCCAGAGCCCAGCCCCCAGCAAACAGAGAAGGGACCAACGTCCTTGGAAAAGGCGAACACAGCACACAAGGTCTGGGCAGCCCAGCCCAGCTAACACCACAGTTCTTCAAGTCCCTGTGGCCTCCAGGAGTGACATGACCATCACAGCCCAGCTGGGGGACTCCCATCCCGGCCTCTGGAGCCTTCATGGTAAGTTCAGCTGTGTCCTTACCAGTGTGCAAAGAATATTGGGTAGGAAGGGAAAATGTGTAGCTTCTTTTCCTACTCCAAGTGCTTCAACTTTCCCATCAAAATATACTGCAAGTACCTGTGGCTCATGCCTATAATCCTAGCTACTCAGGAGGCTGAGACCTGAGAATCATGGTTTAAGGCCAGCCTGGATAGAAAAGTCCATGAGACTCTTATTTTCAATTTACCAGCAAAAACCCAGAAGTAGAGATGTAGATCAAATAGCAGAGTGCTAGCTTTGAGCAAAAAAAAAAAAAGCTAAGGGACAGCAACCAGGTCCTGAGTTCAAATCCCAGTAATACTGGATATATTGCAAGGAAGAATTTTATTAGCCCACCAAGTAGAATGGGTCATTCATTCCAAACTAAACCCCTTCCCCTGCCATTAGGGCTCCATTTTTATTTTTGTTTTATAATCTCAACTAACAAAGTCTCATCACCCGGAGATGCTCAGACCCTAAAGACCCTACCTTCCGATTAAAACTCCAATTTCACAAACCTTGTTTGGTTTCTGAAATGCAGCATGCAAAAGGATGGAGGTGGAGCTCAGTGGTTAGAGCACTTGTTTATCTGTAACAATGAACCTGTGTATGATCCCTAGCACTTGAAAACAAACAAAAAGCCAGGTATGGTGGTACACGCTTGTAATTATAGCAATTTGGGAGGTGAAGGTAGGAAAATCTTGGACTGAGGCTAGCCAGAGCAAACTACAAGACCCTATCGGTAAACGAAACAAGACAAAACAAAACAAAAAGTAAAGCAAAAAAGGGCTGGGGCATGGCTCAAGTCGAAATCAAAGTGAATCAAGAATGATGTATTTTGTTTTTGTTTTTGTGCCAACCCCGGGGCTTGAACTCAGGTCCTGGACACTGTCCGTGGGCTTTTGTACTCAGGGCTAGCACTCTACCACTTGAGCCACAGCTCCACTTCTAGCTTTTTGATGATTCATTGGAAATAAGAATCTCACACACTTTCCTGCCCCATCTGGCTTTGAATCATGATCCTCAGTTCTTAGCCTCCTGAGTACTTAGGATTAGAGGCATGAACCACCAACGATAACCAACATTGGTGGAGCTCCTGGTTTGACCACTCACTACCTACCCCTGCCCCCCAGATGCCCACCAGGCTTGCCGCAGCTTCCGGTACCTGGACCGCTGTAAGCATCAGATTGGACCCCAGGAAACCAAGTTTCAGCTGCTCAACAGTGCCCGGAGTCCCCTCTTCTCCTGCAATTGCACACGCCGGTGAGACCTGCTATATGTCGCATAGGGTGGGCTGTCTGCTGCCAGGCTCTGTGAAGGGGCTCTGGGCTGATGAGATCCTGTCCCCACCTGAGCCTGCCCTCTGCTCTCAGCGTGGCACGCTTCCTGAGGCTGCACAGCCCACCTGCAGGCACCAACGTGCTTTGGGAACTGTTGGGCACCACCTGCTTCCAGCTGGCCCTTCCAGTGGACTGTGCAGAGGTCAAAGGGTAAGTGATGGCAGAACCAGAAATCAACGGCTTTTCCCCAGTCTGGGTTGGGCCCAGGGAGCCTCAGATGCCATTATCCTGGCCCCTCCCCAATACATGCTACTCCCAGGCCAGCTCTGCGTCTGGCATATAGGAGGATGCATCTTCACTGTCATTTATTTTATTTATTTTGGTGCCAATGCTAGGGTTTGAACTCAGGGCCTTGAGTTCTTGCCTGGCTTTTCTGCTCAAGGCTAGTGCTCTACCACTTGAGTCACAGCACCACTTCCAGTTCTTTTCTGAGTGGTTAATTGGAGATAAGAGTCTCATGGATTTTCCTGCCCAGGTTGGCTTGGAACCATGATCCTCAGAGCTCAGCCTCCTGAGTAGCTAGGATTACAGGCGTGAGCCACCAACACTAGGCTGCTGTGTCATTTGATTTCTGGGTATTCTTGACTAGGTAGTTCCCCTTGCCAGAACTCCATTTTCTTATTTGTAAAATGGTTATAGGAAAGTTGGGTGTGGTGGTACACTTCTGTAATCCCAGCGTTCAAGAGGCTGAGGCTAGAGGGTCTTGAGTTTAAGGCCAGCTTGGGCTACACAGTGGGATCCTATCTCAAAAAACAAAGCAAGGAACTGGAAGTGTGGCTCATGTGGTAAAGCATTAGCCTTAAGTGGAAGAAGCTAAGGGACATGGCCTAGACCCTAAGTTAAAGCCCCAGTACCAACACACACACACACACACACACACACACACACACACACACACACACACACACACACACAAAGCAAGTTAGGCACTGGTGGTTCATGCCTGTAATTCAGTTTGAATTCAGGGTCTTTCACTTACTAAGTAGGTGTTCTACTACTTGAGTCATGCTCTTAGCCCTTTTTTACTTTAGTTATTTTTTGAAGGTCTAGAGTTTTGTCCCAGGCCAGCCTGGAACCACACTCATCTCACAGAGGTGAGATTACAGGCACATTCCACCCTGCCAGGCTTGTTGGTTGAGATGGCTCACTTTTTGCCCCGATTGGCCCTGAGCCTCCTCTACCTCCTGAGCGGGCCTGAGCCCTTCCTTATCCTGATCTGACTTTGACATTTAATCTCTCTTCAAGCGAATCGCTAATAATTCCCATTTTGCAGAATGAGGACTGAGGTCTAGTCCTTGGCTCAGGCTTCCTTAGCTGACTAGTGTAGCAAAAGTTTTCGGGTACCAGCTCAGCTTATTCTCCCCCATCCCCTCTTCCTTGCTGGCAACCCTGGCCCCAGCCCTGATCCTCTCTGGGCATCAAACCCTCACTCTGCAGAGTAAGGTTCTTCTGGCCCTGACCACTGTCCCCCTGTTTCCTCCCCACAGCTGTTCCAGAGTCCCTAAGGCCATCAAAGTGACAGCTCGGCACTTACAGCGGCTTCAGCAGAGACGACTCCAGCTCTGCTCTAAAAGCCCAGACAAAGGGCAGATGTGGCTTTCAGAGCCCCTAGGGACCTCCATGTCATTTTACAACAAATGTCTCCAGCTAACTGAGGCAGCCCAAAGCAGCAAAGGACAGCAATGATTCTAGAACTAGGGAATCTCAGTTCCAGCTATTTCTTGTCCCAGGTCCTAGGGAATATTAGCCTCCTCTCCCTAGGTTAGACCTGGAGTATAGAAACCAGGAGGCTGGATGAAGGAACCTTGCCTGCTCTGCTGAGTGACCTTCTGCTGGTGAAACAACTCCTCCGTTCTTGCATGTGGTTGATAATCAGGAAACTCACTCTGATGTAGGGACCTTTCCATACTGATAGAATTGGGGCAGAGGGGGCAGTAACTAACTGCAGTACCCTGAAGAGGTACCCATTGGATGATACATACATGAGCCAAAAATCTCCCTAAGAAAACCCCAGAACCTTGGCTATGACACTTTAGGGCAGAGGGGGGAAATTAAAGATGTTCACTGCCTGAATCTGAACCCAAGACTGGGGTAGGGGACACTGGAGAGGCCATCTCAACTCCTTTCTTTGGTGCCGCTACAGTTTCTTTATTTGTACTGATACCAAGGCTTGAACTCAGAGCCTGATGCTCTTTCTGGGCTGTTTCGCTCATGCCTGGCGCTCTACCACTTGAGCCACACTTCCTGTCTGGCGTTTGTGCTGGTTCATTAGAGATAGAATCTTGTGGATGCTTCTGCCCCAGCTGGCCTTGAATCCTCAGATTTCAGCCTCCTAAGTAGCTAGGATTAGAGGCATGAGCCACCAGTGACCAGTCAGGGAACCCCTTCCTTTAATAACTATTATGGCTTTTTGTGTTTTCAAAGCTGAGACCCCCAAACTCAGGGCCTTGCGCTTACCAGGCAAGTGCTGTTCCACCGAGCTAAAACTTCAAACCCAGCTGCAGCCTTCTTAGCCAGACCTATACCATTGTTTCTACCCTAAAGCTAAATTCAAACCTCCTCTATGCTCTTGGGCAGAGGACTGCCCTCCCTTATGATGAGCCTTAGTTTCTTCCTCTGAAAAAGAGGGTCGCAAACATAACCATGAGCTACCTCATAGAATTGCTGAGGATAAATGAACTTATGGGGGGGGGGGCTTGGCACATAGTAAACTTTGATTCCCTCTAGCACTGAGCCAATGTGTTTTTCTGGTTTTGAGACATTGGCATCCTTTTCTTGTGTTTGCCATGACTGGGGCTTGAACTCAGATCTGTGGGCACTCTTAGCTTTTTCCACTCAAGGGCTGCACTCTACCACTTGAGCCACACCACCACTTTTGGCTTTTTGGTGGTTCATTAGATAAGAGTCTAATGGACTTTCCTGCCTGGGTTGGCTTGGGATTGTGATCCTCAGATCTCAGCTTCCTGAGTAGCTAGGATTATAGGCGTGAGCCACCCACACTGGTAAAACCTCTTGAGGTCTTTGTTCACCTGAGAATTAGGTGTAAAGAAGGGCACCGACCCACAGGGTTATGGTTCAGATTAAAGGACCAGACACATATCCTGTATACAGCTGGTGCTTAGTAAATGTTAGTGCTGTCACTCCCTTGCTTTTCAGCCCGTTTTATACTAGCTATCCTCATCCACAGACGGCTAAGAAATCTGGAAGAAGTCAGAAAGTGAAGCTGGAGAATTTAATTCCTAATGGCTGACCTTTGCAATTGGGACATCTACCAACATCCCCCCCCCCCCAACCCAGATGGGGGCTCAGGCGGGGCTTTGCTGATTGTCACAGTTGAGGTGCCAGAACTGAGTTTTAAGGGACCCCAGCTGGCCACTCCTGGGCAGGACGGAGTGGCGGGCGGGGACGCAGCTGGGGCAGCAGCAGGAGAGGCAGGCAGGTTTGTGGGCCATCGAGGCGGCAGGGAGGGGGGCGGGTGGCCACCTGGGCGCCCCTGCTGTCTACCCTCAGGGCCCCAGACCCCCTTCCTCCAGCCCATGCCGGCCTTGGGGGCTGGGAGACAGGCTGTCCGAGTTGGGAGCCTCCCCATCGGGTCCCCAGGAGCCACCACCGGGGTCGACGGGCTCCAATCGCAAGGCTGGCAGTAGGCCCAGGCCTCGGGGCACCGCCGGGGGGAAGGCCCAGGGGCCAGGCAGCCCTGAGGATCCTTCTCCGCTGCTGCCCCGGCTGCCACCGCCACTGCCCCGATCAGGGGCCGGCCGGGGCAGCTGGCGGCTCTGCGGCGAGGGACTCCGGCTGGCACCGCGGCGTTCTCGCGAGGAGGGCCGCAGGGCGAGACTGGGGAAGCGGGCGAGGCCCGGGCTCCGACTCCGGTGGCGCTTGGACTTGCCAGGACTAGGGCTGCGGGACTTGGGTGCGAGTAATTCTAGGGTGCTGTCGTCCTCGCCCTCCGAGCTGGTGCCAGAGCTGTCGGTGCTGCTGCTGGCCGACTCTGAGGTAGGCAGCGAGATCTGGGGAGGGGCGGGGGGGAAAGGCGAGTTGGGGTACACTGATCACCGAGGCACCCCGCTCCTCAGCCTGGCCCCCGAGGTCCGGAGGTGGATCACGGGAGGTCGGCCTATTGGTCAGTGGCAGCAGAGTGAAGGGGTCCCCCTGGGTCCCCCACTCAGGCCCCTTTACCTGGAAGGGTTCCGTGACTCCGATGAGGATGCTGTGGTGGTGGCTGTAATAACCCAGGATGAAGTCGCCATGGCCTTTGGGCAAGGAATCCTCACTGAAGGTCACCTAGGGGGGGGGGGGCAAAGGGACAGGCCGGAGCTGGGGGTCAGGTGAGCAGCCTCAAGACACCCCCCCCAACCCCTAGCTGAGTCCTGAGGTCACCAGGGTGTGGGGACTTCGCCTTCCCACCCTGCCCTCCTTTGAATCACCTGGTAGATGCTGCCGTCCACATCTTCGTGTTTGGCCCAGACATAGGCCACGTAGTCCTTGCAATGCCGAAAACCCACCTGAAGAGAGAGCGAGCAGGGCCCTGAGCCCCAGTGCCAGCATCCGATCAGATGTCACATCCAACGGTGCACCAGGCTCCGCCAGGCCCGCTCCTCCCCTAGGACCAGGCTCCACCCAGCCCCGCCCCTCTCACCCTGTACAAGCCAATCCAGTCCCAGGAGCTGCGGGCGAACACAGTTTCCATGCGGTACCTCACCACAGCTTGCTCTGGCCGCACCCACTCATCCGCCACCTCCAGCCGCACCAATGGCACATCGTCCCTAAAGGCAAACTGCCCAGGCAAAAACAGGATCAGAGGGTGACATCAGAGGACATCCTGTAGCATCCCATGCACCGAAGACTCTCAGCAGAGAGGAAGGCATGTGAGCCCATTTCACAGAATGCAAAACTGAGGGGAAACAGGTTTAAGATCCCGGGGCTGTCACCCAGGATCACATCTGTGGTCCGAGTTACTTGGGAGGCCGAGATCTGAGGGTGACAGTTTGAAGCCAATCCAGGCAATAAAACCCATGTCTTTTGGTCTCCAATTAATTACCTCTCAAAAAACCCCAGAAATGGAGCTATGGCTCAAGTGGTAGACTGTTAGTCTATCAGGACCCAGGCCCTGAGTTTAAGCCACAGGACTGGCATTAAATTTAAAAAAAAAACAAAACACTAGGCTGGGCGCTGGTGGCTTACACCTGTAATCCTAACTACTCAGGAGCAGGAAAGTCTGCGAGAATCATCTCCAATAAACCACTACAAACCGGAAGAGTGCAGAGACAGCGCCCAAGCCCAGAGTTCAAGCCCCATGACCAAAAAAACCACCACCACCACCACCACCACCACCAACAACAACAACAACAACCAGGTCTAGGATAAATGTCAAACTTTCTATTTCTCAGTCCAGGGTTCCTTCTATTTGATGCCTCTTGAATAGGTGAGTAAGAACTTAGCTTTTGTTTTTCTTTCTGTACTGGTGTTTTGAACTCAGATCTTCCTACTTGCTAGGTTTGGTGAGTGCTCTACTACTTGAGCAGTACCCCCCACCAGCCCTTTATGATTTAACTTATTTTTTTCAGATAGGGTCTCACTTTTTTGCCCAAGGCTGGCTTCAGATTAGGATCCTCCTACCACTTCCTCCTGAGTAGCTGGGATTACAGGCGTGACTCACCATGCCTGGCCCTGCAATCCAGCTTTGAAGTTATCAAACCCTTGATTTAGCCCAGGCTCTGTCATTGTCAGGTTATATAATGGACAAATAAATCCCTCAGCCTCTCTGAGTTGAACCCAGGGCTCTTTGTAAACTTGAGGGTTCTTATTTAACACTGCGGTTATTCTTCTGCTTTACTGGATATCCCATAAACTTCCCCCATCTAACAATATACTGAATAAATGATTTGCCTGTGGTCCTAGCAAAATAGACAACATTCTGGGTGGGTATCTAGAGGCCTCAGGCTCTGCTACTAAAGTCCTGTGTGAACATCCCAATATTTCTTTTCCTATCTGAAGGTTTTTGCATTGTTTTGTGCTGTGGCTGTGGATTGAACTCAGGGCCTTGAACTCTGGCGCTCTACCCTTGAGCAGCCACACCCCTCCACTTTCAAGGATTTTGCTGGTTAATTGGAGATGGAGTCTCTCAGACTGTTCTGTCCAGGCTGACCTCACCCTGTGATCCTCTGAATTTCAGACTCGAGATTTGCTAGGATGACAGGTGTGAGCCACTAGTGCTTGGCTATATAAAGTCTGAAAGTCCAATGAACAATTGATCTATTACCAACACATGAAGACAAATTATAACCATGAATATGTGTTTCCGAAGACTGGCCAAGCTAAGTGACTGTGTGTGTGTTTGTGTGTGTGTGTGTGTGTGTGTGTGTGTGTGTGTGTGTGTGTCCTGACTGGTAGTAGTGTTTCTGGGGTGGCAGCCAGGGCCTTGGCCACCTGTGTCCCTAGGGGAAGGGCCCTCAGATGGTGCCAGCTCAGGTCTTTGTCTACTCCCCTGTTGATCTGGTTTCAAGTTTCTTTCCCTCAGCTTCTGTTCAGGGAAACTGTTCCAGAAGAAACCAGTACATTCTCTCTCTGTCCCTAGGTTCCTAACCAATGTGAAAATGTCCTCCAAAGCCTTGCAAGGTCAAAGCTGTTCAGGCCTATTCTGACTGTGTTATCTTGGGTAGAGGCTTATGTTCTCAGAACCTCGCTTTCTCTCGCTGGGAAAGCAGGAAAGCAAACGTGCACATCTCCAGGTCCTTACAGCATTCAAGGAAATGACATCTGTAAAGCACCTGGTATAAAGTAGGTCTTTAGTAGGTAGCCTTAATTTTCAATCCTCCCTCCTTTAGACTCCAGACTGCTGGGAATACATACCATGCCTGGCTCATGGTAACTTAAAAACAAAAAACTCTTCTTTTTAGAAGGAGTAAGATTGACTGGAACATATTGTAAATGTGTAGAGTAACAATGAAATCTCCCTCAGCAGAACTAATAAACCAAACAACCAGGTGCTGAGTGGCTTATGCCTGTAATCCTAGCTACTCGGGAGGCTGAGATCTGAGAATCAAGGCTCAGAGCCAGCTCAAGCGGACAAATCTGAATGACTCTTATTTCCAAAACTAACCAGCAAAAATCCATAACACTAGGCATGGCTGATTGTCACAGTTGGGAGCGAGAGCACATCGCCCTGACTTCATATCCTAATAACAGCAACAAACAAAACTTGTATCACTTTTGTCTTCATTTTTCTTTTTGTGGCACTGGGGCATATGCTAGGGGTATGTTCTACCACTGATCTACATTCCCAACCCCAAGTAGCTTTCTCATTTTATTTTGGTGCTGGTACTGGGGCTTGAACTCAGGCCCTGAGTGCTGTCCCTTAGCTTTTTTTGCTCACAGCTCATGCTTTACCACTTGAGCCACAGCTTCCCTTTTAGGTAATTTTTTTTGGTCATGGGGCTTGAACTCATGGCCTGGGTACAGTCCCTGAGCTCTTAAGCTCAAGACTAGCGCTCTACCACTTGGGCCACAGTGCCACTTCCGGTTTTCTGGTGGTTAATTAAAGGTATGAATCTCACAGACTTTCCTGCCCAGGCTGGCTTTGAACCGTGATCCTCAGCCTCAGCCTCCTGAGTAGCTAGGCTTACAAGCCTGAGCCACTGGAGCTTGGCTAGGTAATCTTTTCTCAAGAACAGAGGCCTTAGTTGGGTGCTGGTGGCTCATGCCTGTAATCCTAGCTATTCAGGAAGCTGAGATCTGAGGATTATGGTTCAAAGTCAGCCTGGGCAGGAAAGTCCACGAGATTCATCTCCAATTAACCACCAGAAAATTGGAAGTGGAGCTGTGGCGCAAAGTGGTAGAGAACTAGACGAGCAAAAAAGCTCAAGGATACCACCCAGGCCCTGAGTTCAAGCCTCAGTATAAGCACCAGAATAAAATAATAAAATAAAAAAGCTACTTGGGGATATAGCTCAAAAAAAGAAAAGAAGGAAGGAAGGAAGTCTGGACAAGGCAGGAAGGACAATGTGGAGAGAAAAAAAAGTAATTCTCAAGGGGAAGTCTCTGAGGGTTAAAACTATCCAAGGACACAGGAAGCCAGGCACAGGCAGATTTCCATTGCTAGCTGAGGATTTTGGCCAGTGTCCCACTGACTGACCACGTGACAAAGCTACCAGGCAAACCTTCTCCAGTAGTCAGGACTCTTATCAGATCCAGTGACTCGGAGAATCCAGAGTTTGGGTTTCATGTTTGGGAGATGAGAATCTACCCTGTTGTGCTCTGTCACTGAGCTTTTGTGTAACATGGAACCCATACCAACCTCAATAGGAGCCCCAGATTCTCCCTGAGAAGAAAAGAGAGAGCTGGACTAATATGAGCTCTGACATCTGGTTTCTAACATTCTAATAGTATCACTTTTTTTTTTCCAGTCCTGGGGCTTGAACTCAGGGCCTGGGCCCTGGAAAGATGATCACTTTTTATGTTGGCAACCAGGAACTTCAATCCTAAATCTCAAGCTAAGCACTAGTAGCTTATGAGTATAATCCTAGCTACTCAGGAGGCTGAGATCTGAGGATTGTGGTTTGAAGTCATCCCAAGCACAAAAGTCTGGGAGATTCTTATCTCCAGTAAACTACCAAAAGGCCAGAAGTAGAGCAGTGGCTCAAGTGGTAGAACCCTAGCCTTGAGCAAAAGGACAGACAGTGCCAAGACCATGAGTTCAAGCCCCAGGACTGATAACACACACACACACACACACACAAACACACACACACACACACACACACATTGGGTTTGAACTTGGGGCCTTACACTTGTTAGACAAATGTTCTACTACCACTCACCTTTTTTTTTTTTTCTTGCCTCCTAACTCTTCCTTATAATGGCTGTGTGACCCTGGGGCAAGGTATGTGTCTCTGAGCCTCAGCATCCTCATATAAAAATAAGAGATCATAACATCCTCCCCTCCCCATGATTCACCTAAGGACAGGCCAAGTGCAAAGGCTGACTGGTGTGCAGCTGGATGCTCAGCTCAGTCCAAAGACATCTTAAGAGGAAGAGAAAGATGAGCTGGTGGCTTGCATCTGTAATCCTAGTGCTCAGAGAAGGTGGAGATCAGAGAATCAAAGTTTGAAGCCAACCTCAGGAAGGAAAGTGAGACTTTTATCTCCAATTATCCACCAAAAAGCCATAAGTTGAACATGTGGCTCAAGTGGTAGAACACCACCAGCCACCAGCCTTGAGCAAAAAGTTCAGGAGAGAGAGAGAGAGACAGAGACAGAGACAGAGAGAGAGACAGAGACAGAGAGAGAGAGAGAGAGAGAGAGAGAGAGGTGAGAGGGGCTAAGAACTCACCTGTAGGACGAACTGGGCAGCCACTGGCTTGTGGTCACTGACTGTATATTCCATATGGCTTCGGTAGCTGTGCTGGGTCACCTGGAGCCGATGGCTCTCCCGTCCTGAGGGGCTGGGGCCTCCACCTGGAGCCTTGACCTTCCACAGGATACGATCTGTCCAGGCTGGCTTCCTCTTCTTTGCACTGTAGTGGGTGGTCATAGCCTGAGTTTAAGGGACTTGAGAGAGTGTTCAAAGCACAGGCCCAGCCTTGCCTCCTGCCCCTCTCCTTACAGTCTCCCTTTTCTAGAACACGAAAGCCTATGTCCCAGCTGGGCACTGGTGATTCATGTCTGTAATCCTAGCTTCTCAAGGAGGCTGAGATCTGAGGATCGTGGGGGCAAAGCTAGACCAGGCAGGAAAGTCTGTAAGGCTCCTATTACCAATGAATCACCAAAAAGGCAGAAGTGGAGCTATGGCTCAAGTAGTAGAGCACTACTAGCCTTGAGCAAAAGAAGCTCAAGGGCAGTGACCAGACCCTGAGTTGGAGTCCCAGGACGGTCACAAAGCAAACAAAAGCCTATGCCCTCACCTCATCCAGCTGCTCACCTGGTGTCGTATTTGTTAGTACCCACGTCAAACTTGAAGGTGGGAGCAAAGTTAAGGGGTCCCTCCTGGAAGCCCTTCAGGATGGGCCATGTGTTCTTGGCCATGTTGAGCTGTGGGGTTCCAGAAGGGCAAAATTGGACAACAGCTTAGGCTTTCCAGCATCTGGAAGTTGAGTGTGTTGGGGGTGGGAGGTGGCTGGTGAGGGCAAGGACCAAAACTTAAGGTCCACGTGTATCCCGGGACATGCTTTGTGTGCTTGGGAGTGTGGGGTAGGGGTTAGGATTCCCTACCTGGTCCTTTTCCCAGAGCTGATGGAGCTGGTCGCTGTCGATGGCGAATTTGACAAAGTGCAGGTCATAGCTCTCGATGCGGAAGTTCAGGTCCCCAAACCAGAACACAAGGCTGTTCACAGATGGGAGTTGGGGGAGGTCCATGGGATGGAAGGGCTCAGTCTAGATCCTTCCTGGGCCCCATCCAACACGATGGCACTGGCGCTTCTGGCGATGCAGTGGATGGGTGGGCGGCACCAGACCCTCCAGCCAGCCAAGGAGCAGAGGGGAGTGGGGAGAGCGGGGTCTAGAGGAAATTCGGTTGGGATCCCCAGGAAGATCCTGCCCCTCAGCGAAGCTCCACCCCTCTCCATCAAAATGCCACCTGCCACCCACCCTTCCTCCCAGACAGGCATCAAGCATCCCTGCTACAGTCCCGGCCGGGTCCATACTCGTGATCTAGGATGCCGTGCGCTCCGGGGCCCTGGAACTGCTGAAGGCTAAGGATGGTTTGAAAGTTGTCCTTGCGCTGCTCGGCCTTGTCCATGTGGGCTGGCAGGTGGCAGTTCAGGAAGCAGAGCATGTGCCCGAAGGCCGCTAGGCGCACGCTCACTCCACCCTTGTTACCCTATGGGGCGGGAGGCGGGGGTTGACAGGTCATGGGCGTGGCCTGGGCAAGGAGGCGAGGCCAGAGGTGGGAGAGAATTGGGGGGGCGAAGGGGTGGACGAGGCTTGGACGGGGTGGGTCCTAGGGAAAGAGGCAGAGCCCTGGGGCAGGGCAGTGAGGCGAAGGGGGCGTGGTCTAGGGCATGGGCGTGGCGTTGAGCGGGGCTTAGATCCTAGGGAAAGAGGCAGAGCCCTGGGGCAGGGCAGTGAGGCGAAGGGGGCGTGGTCTAGGGCATGGGCGTGGCGTTGAGCGGGGCTTAGATCCTAGGGAAAGAGGCAGAGCCCTGGGGCAGGGCAGTGAGGCGAAGGGGGCGTGGTCTAGGGCATGGGCGTGGCGTTGAGCGGGGCTTAGATCCTAGGGAAAGAGGCAGAGCCCTGGGGCAGGGCGGGGAGGGAAGGGGCGTGGCCTAGACACGTGGGCGTGTTCTAGAGAAGGGGCGTGGTGTTAGGGGCAGGGCAGGCAGCAGGGGCCAAGGCGTGCAGAGTTCTGGAGGGACCTTGCAGAAGCCTGGTGATCGCGGGACAAATCAATGGCCAATCCTTGGGCCTCTTTCCCCACTAAACCCCTTCTGGAGGCCGCTCCCATGCTCACCCAGTAGCCACCCAGGCCAGTGCGCGTGCAATCTGTTTGCACGTCCCGCAAGAAGGGCAAGTGGTAGTACTTGGCGAACAGCAGAAGGATGACACCCTGCATCCGGACTGTACTCACCTGCAGGAGGAAGGGGACAAGGTGTGGGGACGATGTGTCCCCGCCCCCTCCCACCTCTGCTTTTCCTCCTGCTCGTCAAATTCTGATGAATCAAGGCAGAAACGGGCCAGGATTTCCACAGGGGTCCCTGCTTGTCCAAAGGGTGGAGGTTTTTTTTGGGAGGAGGGAGGGAGGAGTGGATGCATTACCAGCACGAAGTTGAAGGGCCCTAGAGCGTCCATGAAGAGCTCACTCCACTGGTCAGTGAAGAGAGCATCCTTGAGGCGCTTGTTGATCATGGAATTGACTTCCTGCAACCTGAGGACATGAGGGAGAGGTGGCCATCGGGTTGGAGGGGCAATTTAGAAGCCCCTGCCACTAGGTGAGGGTCTAGGAAGCCCCAGGGTCTCAGGAAAGGATCCCCCCCCACCCCTGCCCCTCACCCTATGGCGATCATATCTGCACCATCACTGTTATCGCCGCCACCCAGGTGGAGGAGAGAGGTGACATCATCAGGGGGCATGGCGGTCCCCACATTCCAAGTAACCACAGTGATCCTGGGGAGGTAGAGGCACAGGAAGGTTCACTGCTGGGCTCTGTTACCCACAGTGGGCCCAGCACCCCTCCTACTAGACTCTCCCTGGAGAAACAAACACAGGAAGGAGCCATCCCTTAGAAAGAGATGCTGTCTTTTTAAAAGTCCCACTGGGGCCTACAGCCCTCCCAAGGAGAAATCATTAAAAGGAAACCAGGAGAATACATCACCACCCTGTAAAGACTGGCTAGTGTTGCAAGCACAAGCCCCAATGACTGTTCTTGAGAAAGAACCCCTCACCGGAATCCGGGGTCGCTCTTGCAGGTAGGTTGAGCTGACCAAGAGGAGGGTGCCGAGATGGATGTAGGAGAGATGGCGACTGGGGCTTCTGAGGTCTGAAGCTTAGGACTCAGGCACCTGCCAGCCCCTGCAGTATGGGTGCCAGGCCCTGAACCCTGGCTGCCAGACCCTGGACTCTGGGTGCCAGACCCTGGACTCTGGGTGCCAGACTTTGGTCTCTGGGTGTCAGGCCCCGCACCCTGGGTGCCAGGCCTGGGGAGAGCCACCTCAGGGGTTGGGGGAACACAGGTAGAACGGTTTGGGGAACGGCTTGGGGAGCGGCTGGGAGACCGGGGTGGCTTGGGCAGAGGTGGGGGCACAGTCTGGCCTGAGGAGGTTCCTGGCCGGAAGGTAGGTGACAACAGTCCAGGGGAGCGAGTGCCAGACTCTGGAAGGCTGGTACCCACCTCCAAGGGTAGGGTGTGGGGTGGGCGTGGCAGGACAGGATCTTCAGGGCTATTGCGGGAGGCTTCAGGCCGGGCTCGGAAGGAAGGAGAAACCCGGGGGTCTGGGGAGGTTTGGATTAAGGCTGGGGAGCTGGTAGGAGCAGATGCCTGAGCTGGAGGCTGGAGACGACCCTCAGAAGGGGGAAGAGGTCTAGGGGCTGGGACATCCCTCTGTTTAGCTGGTGTCCATCCCATAGAAACTGGGGCTGATATTGCAGATGCTGGAGTCAAAGACTGCTCCTGACAAGGAGACAGAATTGGACTAGGCACCGGGGAAGGGCTGGAGGGGGATGGAAGAGGATGCTCCTGAGAAGCCAGGGCCAGGCTTAGGCCCGAGGCTGCCAGTGCTGGTTTAGATCCCATGGAGGTGGGTGACAATGGCTTCTGGTCCTTGGAGGTTGGAGCTTGACTGGGTCCCAGAGAGCTTGGTGGCTGCCTTGGCATTGCTGAGGCTGAGATTACAAGCTGCCCCAGTGATGTGGGGGCTAAGACTGAAGCTGAGGTGGCTGGGGGAGGCTTGGCGCCCGCTGAGGCAGATACCACCAATTGGCTCACAGATGTAGGGGCCGGACTGGAGCTGTGGGGGGCAGGGGCTCTTTTCTGTCCCCCAGGGGTAGACAGTGGAGCCAGGATGGGCCGGGGAGATGCCAGAGCCAGCCTTGGCCCCTCTGAGGAAGGTGATGTAGCTGCTCGAGGTCCCACAGGTGCCAGAGCCAGCCTGGGTTCTGAGGGTACCGGGGCTGTGTTCTTGGCTGGGTGCTGAAAACTTGAGTCCACCTTGGAAAGGACAAGTCAATGAATGACTCAGAGTGTCCCTAACTAGAGGGTGGAACCTCAGCTTCCACTAGTACACCCTATCTAACTGAAACAAACCAACCAACAAGGCACAAGGAAGTCCTTCCTACTATCTCACGCCAATCCATTCTGCTGCAGGTCAGTTTCTCTTTGGGAAGAGAAAAGACGCAACATCCTGGCCCCTCACACTTGAAAATCTCTTTCACAGATAGAGAAAATGATTTTTTCTTTTAAAGGCAGCATATGAGATCGAATTTTTCCTGATTTTTCTGCCTACAATGGGCAGCCTCTCTGGGCAGGTCTCTTACTCCAGTTTCTCCAGTACTTGGAGCAAGGGCTACTGACCTCACACCCAAGGGGGACACAGAACTCAGTTTGTTAAATCTCTCTCCCCTCCTCCACAGTGCCCAAATATACTCAGCTTCCGTCCCCCCTCCCTCCCAACACACTCCAATAGGGCACCAGATCCCCCAACTCCTGTCCCCTGCCTGTCCTCCGCCATTCCCAAAGCTCCAAGCACAAGCAAGAACTGGGAACTGAGCTGGCCCGTTCCATGTGACTTCAAGCAACACTTCTCTGTCCTGGGCCTCAGTTTCCCTCTTGGTAAAATGAACAATCTGGGCAAAGGGTCCTTAGTGTCATCACCTCTACATGTACGAGCCCAGTATTTCTAAGAGTTCCATGGAGAAGAATGAGTCTATTGTAGCAAGAATGGTTGATCCTGGTACATCTCCTCCATACCCAGGCTGTGCCCTTGTAACCCCTCCACCCTCTCCCAAGTCTGGAAGGACAACAAGCGAGGTTTCGCCCTTGTGTCTGGCAAGGGGGTAGCAGCAGGGTGCTCCACAGCCCATCCATCCTGTCTTTTGGAGGTCCTTGGATAAAGCATCCTTTGCCAGAGAGGAAAGAAGAAGGTCTAAATTCACCCTCCAGTGGCCTCATCTCTGCCTCCAGAGACGCAATTCTGTCTGTCCCGTGTCCTTCTCGCTTCAGAGAACCTGGAACTCTGCCTCCACATACCTCCCTTCTCAAACTCAACTCTTACAGAGTCTGCATTTGGGGCGTCCTTCTTGGAGGCAAGTGTCCCACTTTGTGCCTGCCCCCCCCCTCCCCGCCAGCCACCACACCGCCTCCAGCACTCACAACCTAACACACCCCAGACATCACATAGTTCCAGTCTTCAGAAACAAGACCCCACCACCCCCTTGTGTCTGCATTGGCTCAGAGAGGATGAGCAATTTGCCCAAGGTCACACAGCAAAGCCGGAGAATGACTGAGTCTCCGAACCCTCCATCCAAAGCTCTCGTGTGCTTTCCTGGAGATGGCTGGCTCAGTGCCCTCCACCCTCCCCAGGGCGACTTCTTTGTCTAGCTCCTGCTTGGCGGGCACAGAGGAGTGCCAATCCCTTAGGCAGGGGCAGCAGGGTGCCTGCAGTGTGTGTGTGGGGGTGTGAGCCCAATGATCAGGGATTGGAGGACTAGATTGGGAGGGGGTGTCTCTTACCTTGGAGGGTGTACCAGTTTGAGAAGGCCCATGGAGCACAGGTGAGGGGCCCAAGCTCCCCGGGGTCCCTAGCCTCCTGCTGTCCCCACTGCTCCGGCCCTCCATTTCTGCAGCCCCCGGCAGGCAGCCCGGCTCCCTTGGGCTCAGGCTCCAGCTCCGCAGCTCCCAGGAACCAGTGATGTCATCAGCCCGTTTCAACCTGCTGAGAATTTAAAGGCACAGGCGCCCACTTCCCAGCGTGGAGGTGGCCAGGGCAAGGTGGGTTCCTCCCTGGGGAGTCTTTCAAGCTGGCTGCTGAGGCCGGAATGGCCATGCAGAACAGAGAGTGCCCATCAGCCTTGGCATAGTCCCAAATGGAGGCTTGGGGGTGGGAGGAGGCTCTCTACCCCCCCCCCCTCATCCTCCAGCCAGTAGGCTGCAGGCTCCAGGGAGGGGTACTGACCCACCTACAGGTAGGGCAGAGACAAGTAGTACAGCACCAAGGCCTCAGAGACACCCGAGGCCCTGCCCCATCCCATAGCCTTTCTGACTCCAGGCCTTGCTGCGGGGTGTGGGGAGGTACCCTTGCCCCACTTTCCAGCCTCAGTACCACTTCTAGCTCCCCCTCCTTCCATGCCCCCCCCCCAGTTCTATTCTTCCCACTTTAGAACCAGACAGCCAGGCTCCAGCCATTGGAATGCTCTCCCATCTCAGCCCCAGCTCTCTTCTGCAGACAGCCCTCACTGCGTTCAAATGCCTCCACACGAGGCCTGTCCCGCCCCCTTCCGCTCAGCTCTCCTCAGTCCAGCACTCACTAGGTATGTATGGTCCTGGAAGGTACTTACTCAGTGACCATCTCTTAAGGTTCGGGGAGAAAAATAACTTTCCAATCCAAGTCTAGCCTGAGCCAAGTGTGAGGGAAGGAAAGTGGGGTGGAGAAAAGGCTAGCATTGGGGAAATCGATTTGGCAGAGGTGTCCAAAACAGACCTAGACCTGGGCGCTGGTGGCTCATGTATATTGATTTAAGGATCATGGTTCCAGACCAGCTTGGGCAGAAAAGTCCATCTCCAATTAACCAGCGAAAGGCCAGACTGGAGGTGTGCCTTGAGTGGTACAGCACCCAGTCGTGAGTGCTGAGTATGCAAATAAGCTGAGCAAAAGCACAAGGTCCTAAGTTCCACTACTGGCACAAACAACAGCAATGAAGTAAAATCACAAATACCAGGCCTTGGAGCTCGAATGGGCAAGACCTGGAAGACAACATGGTCCCCAACAGACCTAGAGAAATGTCTGTTGAATGAATGAATGAAATAGAAGAGTGAATGAGTTATGAAGGCAAATTTGGCCAAATGGATATGGGCTTTCTTTCTTTCTTTTTTTTTTCTCCAGGGCTGAGGACCGAACCCAGGGCCTTGTGTGCGCCGGGCCGGCACCCTTCTGCTGGGCTAAACCCCAAGCCCTATGGGCTTTAGTTCTATCTTTTATCCTTTCCTATCTAAAATAAAAATTAATTCACCTGATGCCAATTGCTCATGCCTAACAGTCCTAGTAACTAAGGAGGCTAAGATCTGAGGATTATAGTTCAAAGCCAACCCAGAAAAAAGTCCAAGAGACTCTTATTTTCAATAAATCACCAAAAATAAATCACTAAATATCTGTAAATGGAAAGGTGGCTTAAGCGGTAGAGCATCATCCTTGAGTGAAAAAGCTAAGGGACAGCACCCAGGCCCTGAGTTCAAGCTCCAGTACTGGTGCACATGTGTGTGCATGCGTGCACACACACACACACACACACACACACACACACACACACAAATGGTAGATTCCTTAGAGAGGACCAATCTCACTCAGTTCACATAAAAAGTGTTGTGAGGGCTGGGGATGTGGCTCAGTGGTAGAGTGCCTGCCTAGCATCTATGAAGCCCTGGGTTCAATTCCTCAGTACCACATAAAAAGGAAAAGCAGGAAGTGGTGCTGTGGCTCAGTGGTAGAGCGCTAGCCTTGAGCACAGAGGGGCTCAGGGACAGAGTCCAGGCCCCAGGTTCAGGGCCAGCCCCCAGGACTGGCAAAAAAAAAAAAAAAGTGACTGCTGGGCATCAATGGCTCACACCTATAATCCTAGCTACTGAGGAGGCTGAGATCTGAGGATCACGATTCAAAGCCAGCCTGGGCAGAAAAGTCCGTGAGACTCTTATCTCCAATTAACCACTAGAAAACCAGATGTGGCACTGTGGCTCAAGCAGTAGAGTGCTCACCTTGAGCTGAAGAGCACAGGGACAGCGCCCAAGCCCAGAATTCAAGCCCCACGACCAACCAAAAAAAAAAAAAAAAATGCTGTGAGTTCTGTGTTGGGTGCCCTGCACTCCCTATTGGTCAGCAGTCATGGGCCTCTAGTCCTCTATGAAAAGCACATAGACAGATGCCTCAGGCTTGTCTCCTGAGTGGGCTTCCCATCTTGGCTGGACTGTCCGTACTCAGGGTCACCGCGGGAAGGTCTTTGTGAGGCTGGAGCTTGCAGTGTGGTAAAGATACAGGCCATGTCAGGGTGCTGGGGTAGACACTTTTGTGGACAGTGATGGCAGAGATGGTGACTGACAGTGGATCTGATGACTTCGATGACTGTGAAGATGGAGGGCTGATGTGATCAGGTGATCAGCTGATAGATAAGGAGGCTGGTGGTTAGATGGAGAAGAGAACAGGAAAGAGAGCGGGGCAGAGGGTTATGTTAGTGGACATACTAGAGGACACTCTAGTGGACACACTAGAGGATGGAGTTGAACGGGAGAGTGGATGCTGTGGTGACATTCAGGTCTCCATAGAAGTAAGAAAGATAAATTGCCCTTGCCCAGTCCTTGTATTCCCATTTCACAAAAGGTGCAACTAAAAACAAAAACAAATGAGCAAAATACAACTGTTCCCCTCCCCCACAGGAGAGTGCTAACTTCTGTGTCAGTTCTGGAGTACATGGGAGGCAGATCCAGGCCCCAGGGACCATGCTAGGGCTGGGACAGCGACACTAGCATCCTTTGGAACACAGGCGAATGCCATGCACATGATGCTGCAGAGGACTCCTCTGCCCCAGGGAGGAGAGAAAAAAAAAAGAACACAGAATTTCCCATCATCCCCCTCTTTGGAGAGCAGAATGGCCATCAGGGACTTTGTTTCTGGCCTGGCCACTGACTTACCTGGTTGAGGTCCTGATTTGCATAAAACATTAAAAAGATTAGATACACTGGGCTTTGGTGGTTCATGCCTATAATCCTAGCTACTCAGGAGGCTGAGATCTGAGGTTCAAAGCCAGACCAGGCAGGAAAATCCCTGAGACTCTTACCTTGAATAAACCATCAGAAAACTGGAAGTAGTACTATGGCTCAAGTGGTAGAGCGCTAGCTTTGAGCTAAAGAGCTGAGGGACAGCGCCCAGGCCCAGAGTTTATGACCTCCCCCCCAACCCCCCCACCAAAAAAAAACCCCTCACAAACAAACAAAAGAAAACAGTAGGTACCTCCTAAGTTTGTGGTGAAGATGAAGCAAGGGAACACATAGGACATGTTTAGCTTAGAGCTCAGAACAAGCAAGGTCAGGTAAACACTGCTGCCCATCCCCACTATCTTCACAACCATCATCACCATCATCACCATCATCACCATCATCTTCTACTCCAGCTCATCCATTTGGTGGATTCTGAAACTGAGGCCTGGAGTAAACCACTGGGTTCCTGGAAGGAGAAAGAAGGGGTGGTGGGGGGTGGACCCCTGCAGAGAGTTGAGCCCTGGTAGGAGCTATATTTGTGTTCCTGATTTGATGACTAAGAGGGTTGATAACAGACTCTGGGGCTCAGGGCGGCAGGCCGGGGGCAGCTGCCAGGGAGAACCGCCCCCTTGGAGACGGCTGTCTCTTGGGGGTGGAGAGCCCCTTCTGGCTGCCTCCCTCCCCTCCCACTGCAGGGCGAGGCAGTATACCAAGACACAGCCTTACAGCTCATGAAACCCCTTCCTGAAACTCTTGGGGCTCGCTGTTTGGTTCAGCGAAGCTAGGGGAAGGGAGACACGGGTGGGTGACAGACCATCACAGTGAGATTGGCCATAGTCTCCCACTGGATCGGAGAAGTAATGATAGCCCAGTAGTGGCTGGTGTTTGTGGGGAGACAGTAGACAAGTCTCCCCTGCAGATGAATATGGAATCCTGTCTTGGAAAGAGAGTCTAGGATGCCAAATGGAAGAGAAGAAATGCCTGGGGAAGCAGGGAGAATGGCAGGTGCAAAGGTCTGGGTGGGGCTGGGCAGGCATGGAAAGAATGCAAATGGTGGACTTATGCCCTCTTAGCCTTTTGGCTCAGACTAGATCTACTAGGAGCCCAGAATTGAGAACAATCCTTTCCCTTCCTTCCTCTCCCTTATTCCTTCCAGGGGGGCTCCTGACCCACCACGAAAGTCATGCTGTGGTCACTGTGGAAAAAGCCTAGGGAAGATGGAGAGGGTTGTGGGAAAGTGGCAGGATGAAGGGAATTGGGCACAAAAGAGCAATTCTTCTCCCTGAGACTTCACACCAAGTTTCCCTATTGGTAACAAGTGCCATATGCTGTCAGTGACCAGCTTGGCTGGTTCCCACCCTCTGGGGCAGGTGTCATCTGCACCTCCCAAGGCTGCCACTCAGGAAATGGGCTGGAGGAGGAGGGGTGACTTTCCCAAGGTCACACAGCTGGGGCTGAGCACAGGCCTCCCTCCTCCCTCTCTGGCTCCCCCTCCTCCCAGGCAGCCCAGCACCCGCTGTCAGCTGCTCTGAAGTGAGTGGCTATTTTTATTCTAGTGCAGGGGATCTCAAGCAGCAGAGCCATGTAGGTTAGAAGACTGTAGGACACCCAGCCTCAGCAAGCAAGGGGAAACTTCCTGCAGGGACCAGACTCTTGCTCAGTTTGCCTGGGGGAAAGTGGTGGGGGACTCGCATTGCCTTCTCCAGGCTCCCATGTTTCCAGAAACTTCTTTCTTGGAACTCAGAAGACAGCATAGAGCCAGAACAAGCCCTGGTCATGGCCCTGATCCCACAGCTAATTGGAACACTAATCTTGGTGTTGACTGAGCCTTGATCTCATGACCAGACTAAGCCTCTATTCCAGCTCCAGATTGAGGTCTATGACCTGAGAATTGAGCTGTGACTCCAATAACATACTGAGCCCAGATCTAAGCCTGATTTAAAAAAAAAAAAAAGGCCCATTTCAATTTGAGATCTCGACTCTGGACTTAGACTGAGCACTGATCCTTACCTAAGACTGAGCCTAGATCATACATTGATCTCTAACCACAATCCAGAATAACCTTTTGTTTTAGATTGAATCCTGATTCTAGTGGAACATTAGCCTTATCTTGATCACTAACAGAGCCCTAAGCTCTGCTAATCATTGACTTCACCCCAATCTAAGACTGAATCTGACCCTGGGTCATGTAAATTCTGGTGACTTTGGTCATATACTGAGCCTTGATCTCAGAC